GAAGACGACAAAATGATTTAAAATTGTGTCCAACGTTTCGTTTAGGTAAGAAGCCCTCCTCAGAACATTATTTCGTAATAATTGGAATTTGAAGGTGGTTCCGGGGATTTTGAGGTCCGCTGAAGACGATCCAATGATTTAAAATTGTATCCGACGTTTCGTTTTAGTAAGAAGCCATCTTCAGGGCCCTAATTCAAAATAATAGGAATTTGAAGGTTATTCCGGGGGTTTTAAGGTGCGCTGAAGAAGATGCAATGATTTAAAATTATATCCGACGTTTCGTTTTAGCAGGAAGTCATCTTCAGAGCGTTAATTCGTAATAATTCGAATTCGAAGGTGATTCCGGGGATTTTAAGGTGCGCTGAATACGATGCAATAATTTAAAATTGTGTCCGACGTTTCGTTTTAGCAGGAAGCCATCTTCAGAGCACTAATTCGTAATAATTGGAATTTGAAGGTGGTTCCGGGGATTTTAAGGTGAGCTGAAGACGATGCAATGATTTAAAATTGTGTCCGACGTTTCGTTTTATTAAGAAGCCATCTTCAGGGCCCTAATTCATAATAATAGGAATTTGAAAGTTATTCCGGGGGTTTTAAGGTGCGCTGAAGAAGATGCAATGATTTAAAATTATATCCGACTTTTCATTTTAGCAGGAAGTCATCTTCAGAGCGTTAATTCGTAATAATTCGAATTCGAAGGTGATTCCGGGGATTTTAAGGTGCGCTGAAGACGATGCAATAATTTAAAATTGTGTCCGACGTTTCGTTTTAGTAAGAAGGCATCTTCAGAGCCCTAATTCATAATAATAGGAATTTGCAGATTATTCCGGGGGTTTTAAGGTGCGCTGAAGACGATGCAATGATTTAAAATTATATCCGACCTTTCGTTTTGGCAGGAAGTAATCTTCAGAGCATTAGTTCGTAATAATTCGAAATCGAAGGTGATTCCGGAAATTTTAAGGTGCTCTGAAGTCGATGCAATGATTTAAAATTGTGTCCGATGTTTCGTTTCAGCAGGAAGCCATCTTCAGAGCACTAATTCGTAATAATTGGAATTTGAAGATGGTTCCGAGGGTTTTGAGGTCCGCTGAAGACGATCCAATGATTTAAAATTGTATCCGACGTTTCGTTTTAGTAAGAAGCCATCTTCAGAGCCCTAATTCATAATAATAGGTGATTCCGGGGGTTTTAAGGTGCGTTGAAGACGATACAATGATTTAAAATTGTGTCCTACGTTTCGTTTAAGCAGGAATCCCATCTTCCGAGGGTTTTAAGGTGCGCTGAAGACGATGCAATGATTTAAAATTTTGTCCGACGTTTCGTTTTAGCAGGAAGCCATCTTCAGAGAACTAAAAATAATTTTTATCAAAAAGTAATAACAAATTCGAATATCTCATCCTCGAAAGTCCCTCCATACGAAATTTTAAATATGTTTGAGAAATTATTTCGAAATTCTATTATACGTTGAAAAATCTGCTTGAAAATTAATGGTTAATTTTGAAACTTTAATATTTCACTTATTTATAAATTTAAAAATTTGAAATTTATAAGTAATATACTCTGATCCTTCCTCTATCCAACAATACCAAAAAGTCTCGTCTAAATTGTATAGTTTGCCATCAGGAATGGTTTCTGTATAACGCTGCAAATTTTTAAAAAATGCTTAATTGCATTTAAATGGAGGGGGCTGAGGGGGACATTATGGTATCTACGGATAGACCACATCGACCGCCATCTTTCGATAAAATTTCAATCTTCTCGGAGCGACGTAGGTATTTTAAAAAACTAAAAACATAAATTTTTGGGAAAAACCACGACCATGAAAATTTGGATCGAGGTCGATGTTAACCGATCCGGCTCAAATTTGGCACGAAGATAGGGGGTCGGGGGGGTATTCAAAAAAAATAGTCAGTTGTTTAATTATAACTTTCTTAGTCCTTCCGGGGGACGAAATATTAACAAAAAAACGGATTTTTTTCAAAAAATATTTTATATTTCCGTTATTTATGGTTCTAGGAATTTAAAGACCTATACATTATGTACTTCGGTCTTTTCCTTATTTATTGATATTAAAAGATCTTACATAAGTTGTATAGTTTTTAGTCGGGAACGGTTTAGGTCGGAGACAGCAATATTTTTAAAAATTAGTATTAATGATTATTTATAATTAAATGGCATGAGCTGGAGAGGACTTCATAATTTCCATGGTTAGACCTCCTTGACCTCCAACTTCAGAAAAAATTTCATTCTTTTCGAAGCAACGTAGGTATTTTAAAAAAATGAAAATCAAAATTTTTTAGAAGCATCATGATACCCATGAAAATTATAATTTAAGAATATTAACTACTGATAGATGGTGCTGAAGGCAGATTTTATGGCATTGGCGAATAGAGCTCATTGACCTCTAACTTCGGTAAAAACTTAAATATTTTAAAAAATTAGAAATTTCAAATTTTTACAGAAAAACATGATAAATACGAAAATAATAAATTGCAAATATTAACTGAAAATGGAGGGTTGGTGGGGACATTATAGTATTTGCGGATAGAACTCATTGCTGTGTATCTTCCATAAAAATTTCAACTTACTCGGATCAATACGGGCTGAGAAATGACCTTAAAATCTTATTTTAAATGGGAAAATTGACTTAAAAATTAATGATCAATTTTTAATGTTTTATATCTTATTTACTTATGATTTTGAAAAATTGAAACTTACATTTTAAGTACCTTGGTCCTTCCTCTATCCAACGATACCAAAAAGATTCCTACAAGTGACACCGTTTGTCGCCGAGAGCGGTTTATACATAAGGCTGCAAGTTTCTAAAAATTAATTTTTATTATTTAAATGATTGGGAGGGTGAGGGGACTTTTGTGGTATCTGTGAATAGACCTCATTGACCTCCATCCTTGATAAAAAATTCAAGCTTTTCGGAGCAACGTAAGTATTTTAAAAAATTAAAAATCTAAGTTTTTAAAGAAAATAAATAGGAATATTGAAACAATAAATCGAAAATATTAACTAAAAATGGGCGGGGGATTTTATAGTAGCTGCGAATAGACTTTATTAACCTCCATCTTGAAACAAAATTTCAACCCTCTCGGAGCTACGTAAGTATTTAAAAAAAAAATAGAAATGTTATTATTGTGAAAATAATGTTTCTAATTCAGGAGCAGGCTACGAGATCTATTTGAATGCTTTATTCTGATTGGTCCGATGATTTACGTGCAATTTTCCAAATCTTTAATTCTATTGGTCCATGCATGTCGTGGGAGGCTCCTTTCATTATAGATATTCCTTGGAATGACGACGTCATCAATGTTAACGGTATCGAAGGCGGTTGTGGGAGTTTTGAGGTTGCGCTGAAGACGATGCAATTATTTAAAATTGTGTCCGACGTTTCGTTTTAATTAGAAGGCATCTTCAGAGCACTAATTTGTAATAATTGTAATTTGAAGGAGATTTCGGGGGTTTTTAGGTGCGCTAAAAACGATGCAATGATTTAAAATTGTATCCGACGTTTCGTTTTAGTAAGAAGCCAACTTCAGAGCCCTAATTCATAATAATAGGAATTTGAAGGTGATTCCGGGGGTTTTAAAGTGCGCTGAAGACGATGCAATGATTTAAAATTGCGTCCGACGTTTCGTTTTCGCAGGAAGCCATCTTCAGAACACTAATTCGTAATAATTGGGATTTGAAGATGGTTCCGGGGGTTTTGAGGTTCGCTGAAGGCGATGCAATGATTTAAAATTGTATCCGACGTTTCGTTTTAGTAAGAAGCCATCTTCAGAGCCCTAATTCATAATAATAGGAATTTGAAGGTGATTCCGGGGGTTTTAAGGTGCGCTGAAGACGATGAAATGATTTAAAATTGCGTCCGACGTTTCGTTTTCGCAGGAAGCCATCTTCAGAACACTAATTCGTAATAATTGGGATTTGAAGATGGTTCCGAGGGTTTTAAGGATCGCTGAAGACGATACAATGACTTAAAATTTTGTTCCACGTTTCGTTTTAGGAGGAAGCCATCTTCAGAGACCTAATTCATAATAATAGGAATTTGCAGATTATTCCGGGGGTTTTAAGGTGCGCTGAAGAAGATGCAATGATTTAAAATTATATCCGACGTTTCGTTTTAGCAGGAAGTCATCTTCAGAGCGTTAATTCGTAATAATTCGAATTCGAAGGTGATTCCGGGGATTTTAGGGTGCGCTGAAGACGATGCTATAATTTAAAATTGAGTCCGACGTTTCGTTTTAATTAGAAGGCATCTTCAGAGCACTAATTTGTAATAATTGTAATTTGAAGGAGATTTCGGGGGTTTTTAGGTGCGCTAAAAACGATGCAATGATTTAAAATTGTATCCGACGTTTCGTTTTAGTAAGAAGCCAACTTCAGAGCCCTAATTCATAATAATAGGAATTTGAAGGTGATTCCGGGGGTTTTAAAGTGCGCTGAAGACGATGCAATGATTTAAAATTGCGTCCGACTTTTCGTTTTCGCAGGAAGCCATCTTCAGAACACTAATTCGTAATAATTGGGATTTGAAGATGGTTCCGGGGGTTTTGAGGTTCGCTGAAGGCGATGCAATGATTTAAAATTGTATCCGACGTTTCGTTTTAGTAAGAAGCCATCTTCAGAGCCCTAATTCATAATAATAGGAATTTGAAGGTGATTCCGGGGGTTTTAAGGAGCGCTGAAGACGATGAAATGATTTAAAATTGCGTCCGACGTTTCGTTTTCGCAGGAAGCCATCTTCAGAACACTAATTCGTAATAATTGGGATTTGAAGATGGTTCCGAGGGTTTTAAGGATCGCTGAAGACGATACAATGACTTAAAATTTTGTTCCACGTTTCGTTTTAGGAGGAAGCCATCTTCAGAGACCTAATTCATAATAATAGGAATTTGCAGATTATTCCGGGGGTTTTAAGGTGCGCTGAAGAAGATGCAATGATTTAAAATTATATCCGACGTTTCGTTTTAGCAGGAAGTCATCTTCAGAGCGTTAATTCGTAATAATTCGAATTCGAAGGTGATTCCGGGGATTTTAGGGTGCGCTGAAGACGATGCTATAATTTAAAATTGAGTCCGACGTTTCGTTTTAATTAGAAGGCATCTTCAGAGCACTAATTTGTAATAATTGTAATTTGAAGGAGATTTCGGGGGTTTTTAGGTGCGCTAAAAACGATGCAATGATTTAAAATTGTATCCGACGTTTCGTTTTACTAAGAAGCCATCCTCAGGGCACTTATTCATAATAATTATAATTTGAAGGTGGTTCCGGGGGTTTTGAGGTATACTAAAAACGTTGCAATGATTTAAAATTGTGTCCAACGTTTCGTTTATGCAGAAAGTCATCTTCAGAGCACTAATTCGTAAAAATTAGAATTTGAAGGTGGTTCCGAGGGTTTTGAGGTATGCTGAAGACGATGCAATAATTTAAAATTGTGTCCGAAGGTTCGTTTTAGCAGGAAGCCATCTTCAGAGCATTAATTCGTAATAACTCGAATTCGAAGGTGGTTCCGAGGGTTTTAAGGTTCGCTGAAGACGATGCAATGACTTAAAATTTTGTTCTGGGTTTCGTTTTAGGAGGAAGCCATCTTCAGGGCCCTAATTCATAATAATAGGGATTTGAAGGTTATTCCGTGGGTTTTAAGGTGCGCTGAAGAAGATGCAACGATTTAAAATTATATCCGACGTTTTTTTGCGCTGAAGACAATGCAAAGATTTAAAATTGTGTCCGACGTTTCGTTTTAACAGGAAGCCATCTTCAGAGCACTAATTCTTAACAATTGGAATTTGAAGGTGGTTCCGGGAGTTTTGGTAAGAAGCCATCTTCAGAGCCCTAATCCATAATAAAAGGAATTTGAAGGTTATTCCGGAGGTTTTAAGGTGCGCTGAAGACGATGCAATGATTTAAAATTATATCCGACGTTTCGTTTTAGCAGGAAGCCATCTTCAGGCTACTAATTCGTAATAATTGGAATTTGAAAATGGTTCCGGGGATTTCTAGGTCCGCTGATGATTAAAAATTGTATCCGACCTTTCGTTTTAGTAATAAGCCCTCTTCAGAGCATTATTTCGTAATAATTGGAATTTGAAGGTGGTTCCGGGGGTTTTGAGGTTCGCTGAAAACGATGCAATGATTTAAAATTTTGTCCAACGTTTCGTTTTCGCAGGAAGCGATCTTCAGAGCCCTAATTCATAATAATAGGAAATTTAAGGTGATTCCGGGGGTTTTAAGGTCCGCTGAACACGATCCAATGATTTAAAATTGTATCCGACGTTTCGTTTTAGTAAGAAGCCATCTTCAAAGCCCTAATTCATAATAATAGGAAATTTAAGGTGATTCCCGGGGGTTTTAAGGTGCGCTGAAGACGATGCAATGATTTAAAATTTTGTCCGACGTTTCGTTTTAGTAGGAAGCAATCTTCAGAGCACTAATTGGTAATAATTGTAATTTGAAGGAGATTTCGGGGGTTTAAGGTGCGCTCAAAACGATGCAATGATTTAAAATTGTATCCGACGTTTCGTTTTAATAAGAAGCCATCTTCAGGGCATTAATTTGTAATAATTGGAATTTGAAGGTTATTCCGGGGGTTTTAAGGTGCGCTGAAGATGATGCAATGATTTAAAATGGTATTCGACGTTTCGTTTTAGTAAGAAGCCATCCTCAGGGCAGTTATTCATAATAATTGGAATTTGAAGGTGGTTCCGGGGGTTTTGAGGTACACTAAAAACGATGCAATGATTTAAAATTGTGTCCAACGTTTCGTTTTCGCCGGAAGCGATCTTCAGAGCACTAATTCGTAATAATTGGAATTTGAATATGGTTCCGGGGGTTTTGAGGTTCGCTGAAGGCGATGCAATGATTTAAAATTATATCGGACGTTTCGTTTTAGCATGAAGTCATCTTCAGAGCATTAATTCGTAATAACTCGAATTCGAAGGTGATTCCGGGGATTTTAAGGTGAGCTGAAGACGATGCAATGATTTAAAATTGTGTCCGACGTTTCGTTTTAGCAGGAAGTCATCTTCAGAGCGTTAATTCGTAATAATTCGAATTCGAAGGTGATTCCGGAGATTTTAAGGTGCACTGAAGACGATACAATAATTTAAAATTGTGTCCGACGTTTCGTTTTAGTAAGAAGCCATCTTCAAAGCCCTAATTCATAATAATAGGAATTTGCTTATTATTCCGGGGGTTTTAAGGTGCGCTGAAGACGATGCAATGATTTAAAATTATATCCGACGTTTCGTTTTGGCAGGAAGTAATCTTCAGAGCATTAATTCGTAATAATTCGAAATCGAAGGTGATTCCGGAGATTTTAAGGTGCTCTGAAGTCGATGCAATGATTTAAAATTGTGTCCGACGTTTCGTTTTAGCAGGAAGCCATCTTCAGAGCACTGATTCGTAATAATTGGAATTTGAAGATGGTTCCGAGGGTTTTAAGGTGCGCTGAAGACGACACAATGATTTAAAATTGTGTCCAACGTTTCGTTTAAGTAAGAAGCCCTCTTCAGAGCATTATTTCGTAATAATTTTAATTTGAAGGTGGTTCCGGGGATTTTGAGGTCCGCTGAACACGATCCAATGATTTAAAATTGTATCCGACGTTTCGTTTTAGTAAGAAGCCATCTTCAGAGCCCTAATTCATAATAATAGGAAATTTAAGGTGATTCCGGGGGTTTTAAGGTGCGCTGAAGACGATGCAATGATTTAAAATTGTGTCCGACGTTTCGTTTTAGTAAGAAGCCATCTTCAGAGCACTAATTCATAATAATAGGAAATTTAAGGTGATTCCGGGGGTTTTAAGGTCCGCTGAACACGATCCAATGATTTAAAATTGTATCCGACGTTTCGTTTTAGTAAGAAGCCATCTTCAGAGCCCTAATTCATAATAATAGGAAATTTAAGGTGATTCCGGGGGCTTTAAGGTGCGCTGATGACGATGCAATGATTTAAAATTTTGTCCGACGTTTCGTTTTAGTAGGAAGCAATCTTCAGAGCACTAATTGGTAATAATTGTAATTTGAAGGAGATTTCGGTGGTTTAAGGTGCGCTCAAAACGATGCAATGATTTAAAATTGTATCCGACGTTTCGTTTTAATAAGAAGCCATCTTCAGGGCATTAATTTGTAATAATTGGAATTTGAAGGTTATTCCGGGGGTTTTAAGGTGCGCTGAAGATGATGCAATGATTTAAAATAGTATCCGACGTTTCGTTTTAGTAAGAAGCGATCCTCAGGGCACTTATTCATAATAATTGGAATTTGAAGGTGGTTCCGGGGGTTTTGAGGTACACTAAAAACGATGCAATGATTTAAAATTGTGTCCAACGTTTCGTTTAAGCAGAAAGTCATCTTCCGAGCACTAATTCGTAAAAATTAGAATTTGAAGGTGGTTCCGAGGGTCTTGAGGTATGCTGAAGACGATGCAATAATTTAAAATTGTGTCCGACGTTTCGTTTAAGCAGGAAGCCATCTTCAGAACACTAATTCGTAATAATTGGAATTTGAAGATGGTTCCGGGGGTTTTAAGGTTCGCTGAAGACATGCAATGTTTTAAAATTATGTCCGACGTTTCGTTTTAGTAGGAAGCCATCTTCAGAGCACTAATTCGCAATAATTGGAATTTGAAGGTGGTTCCGGGGATTTTGAGGTTCGCTGAAGACGATGCAATGATTTAAAATTTTGTTCCACGTTTCGTTTTAGGAGGAAGCCATCTTTAGGGCCCTAATTCATAATAATAGGAATTTGAAGGTTATTCCGGGGGTTTTAAGGTGCGCTGAAGACATGCAATGTTTTAAAATTATGTCCGACGTTTCGTTTTAGTAGGAAGCCATCTTCAGAACACTAATTCTTAATAATTGGGATTTGAAGGTGGTTCCGAGGGTTTTAAGGTTCGCTGAAGACGATGCAATGACTTAAAATTTTGTTCCACGTTTCGTTTTAGGAGGAAGCCATCTTTAGGGCCCTAATTCATAATAATAGGAATTTGAAGGTTATTCCGGGGGTTTTAAGGTGCGCTGAAGAAGATGCAATGATTTAAAATTATATCCGACGTTTCGTTTTAGCAGGAAGTCATCTTCAGAGCGTTAATTCGTAATAATTCGAATTCAAAGGTGATTCCGGGGATTTTAAGGTGCGCTGAAGACGATGCAATAATTTAAAATTGTGTCCGACGTTTCGTTTTAGCAGGAAGCGATCTTCAGAGCACTAATTCGTAATAATTAAAATTTGAAGATGGTTCCGGGGGTTTTGAGGTTCGCTGAAGGCGATGCAATGATTTAAAATTATATCCGACGTTTCGTTTTAGCATGAAGTCATCTTCAGAGCATTAATTCGTAATAACTCGAATTCGAAGGTGATTCCAGGGATTTTAAGGTGAGCTGAAGACGATGCAAAGATTTAAAATTGTGTCCGACGTTTTGTCTTATTAAGAAGCCATCTTCAGGGCCCTAATTCATAATTGGAATTTGAAGGTTATTCCAGGGGTTTTAAGGTGCGCTGAAAAAGATGCAATGATTTAAAATTATATCCCACGTTTCGTTTTGGCAGGAAGTAATCTTCAGAGCACTAATTCGTAATAATTGGAATTTGAAGATGGTTCCGGGGGTTTTGAGGTTCGCTGAAGGCGATGCAATGATTTAAAATTATATCCGACGTTTCGTTTTAGCATGAAGTTATCTTCAGAGCATTAATTCGTAATAACTCGAATTCGAAGGTGATTCCGGGGATTTTAAGGTGAGCTGAAGACGATGCAATGATTTAAAATTGTGTCCGACGTTTCGTTTCAGCAGGAAGCCATCTTCAGAGCACTAATTCGTAATAATTGGAATTTGAAGATGGTTCCGAGGGTTTTGAGGTACGCTGAAGACGACAAAATGATTTAAAATTGTGTCCAACGTTTCGTTTAGGTAAGAAGCCCTCCTCAGAACATTATTTCGTAATAATTGGAATTTGAAGGTGGTTCCGGGGATTTTGAGGTCCGCTGAAGACGATCCAATGATTTAAAATTGTATCCGACGTTTCGTTTTAGTAAGAAGCCATCTTCAGGCTACTAATTCGTAATAATTGGAATTTGAAAATGGTTCCGGGGATTTCTAGGTCCGCTGATGATTAAAAATTGTATCCGACCTTTCGTTTTAGTAATAAGCCCTCTTCAGAGCATTATTTCGTAATAATTGGAATTTGAAGGTGGTTCCGGGGGTTTTGAGGTTCGCTGAAAACGATGCAATGATTTAAAATTTTGTCCAACGTTTCGTTTTCGCAGGAAGCGATCTTCAGAGCCCTAATTCATAATAATAGGAAATTTAAGGTGATTCCGGGGGTTTTAAGGTCCGCTGAACACGATCCAATGATTTAAAATTGTATCCGACGTTTCGTTTTAGTAAGAAGCCATCTTCAAAGCCCTAATTCATAATAATAGGAAATTTAAGGTGATTCCCGGGGGTTTTAAGGTGCGCTGAAGACGATGCAATGATTTAAAATTTTGTCCGACGTTTCGTTTTAGTAGGAAGCAATCTTCAGAGCACTAATTGGTAATAATTGTAATTTGAAGGAGATTTCGGGGGTTTAAGGTGCGCTCAAAACGATGCAATGATTTAAAATTGTATCCGACGTTTCGTTTTAATAAGAAGCCATCTTCAGAGCATTAATTTGTAATAATTGGAATTTGAAGGTTATTCCGGGGGTTTTAAGGTGCGCTGAAGATGATGCAATGATTTAAAATGGTATTCGACGTTTCGTTTTAGTAAGAAGCCATCCTCAGGGCAGTTATTCATAATAATTGGAATTTGAAGGTGGTTCCGGGGGTTTTGAGGTACACTAAAAACGATGCAATGATTTAAAATTGTGTCCAACGTTTCGTTTTCGCCGGAAGC